GTCATATAATGCTTTGAAATTACTGACGATTTTAGCCTCCACCACCTTCTCACTTAACTTGTTCCAACCGTCTACCACTCTATTTACAAAAGTGAATTTTCGTATATTTCTCCAGCAGCTTCGTTTCGTTAGTTTAAATCTATGACCTCTTGTTCTTGAAGTTCCGGGTCTCAGGAATTCTTCCCTATAAATTTTATCGATTCCTGTTACTATTTTGAACGTAGTGATTATATCGCCTCTTTTTCTTCTATCTTCTAGTTTTTGCATATTTAATGCCTCTAACCTCTCCTCGTAGCTCTTGTCCTTCAGTTCTGGGAGCCACTTAGTGGCATGTCGTTGCACCTTTTCCAGTTTGTTGATGTGCTTCTTAAGATATGGGCACATACAACCGCTGCATATTCCAACTTTGGTCTAATAAAAGTCGTGAACAATTTCTTTAGTATTTCTCCATCCATGTATTTAAAAGCAATTCTGAGGTTAGAAAGTGTAGCATAGGCTCCTCGCACAATGTTCTTAATGTGGTCCTCAGGTGACAGTTTTCTATCTAGAACCACCCCTAGATCCCTTCCTTTGTCAGAATTCTTTAAAGATTTCTCACAAAATTTATAGGTTGTGTGGGGTCTATGTACTTCAATTCCACATTCCATAACATGGCATTTATTCACATTAAATTCCATTTGCCAAGTGTTGCTCCATATACTTATTTTGTCCAGGTCTTCTTGAAAGGCATGACAATCATCTAGGTTTCTTATCTTCCCTATTATCTTAGCATCATCAGCAAACATGTTCATGTAATTCTGTATTCCCACTGATAGATCGTTTATGTAGACAATGAACATTACCAGTGCAAGAACTGAACCCTGTGGTACTCCACTCGTAACATTCCTCCAATCCGATACCTTGCCTCTGATTACGGCCTTCATTTTTCTGTCAGTTAGGAAATTTTTCATTCATGTTAGCAGCTTACCTGTCACTCCTCCAATATGTTCCAGTTTCCAGAACAACCTCTTATGCTCAACGAGGTGGCGGATGACTTGGCCAAACGTGCCACATCAAAACCACAAGTTGACATTGAATGTGAATTCACAATGAGACAAATAAGAAGCAAAATCAGAAATATTCAGGCACAGGCGGGAGTGGAGAGGAGAGAGATAATGTATGAGAGTAGTCAAACCATGCAACACTACATGTATGTGAGTCAAAACACCCATTTCACTTATGGTAAAAGGAGAAATGCTTGGAGTGACTCTGTGTACATGCGGCTCAGGCTTGGGTACAAATATTACTGGGAATATGGGATAGATGTTCATGATAATGACACGAAGTGTAAACTATGTGGTATGTTAAGGTCTCACACCCTGGCCCATTATGTTCTTGATTGTCCGTTGATTAATGTATATAGAAACACTGAGATAAGGACTGTTCCTGAACAAATAGCCTGGATGTGTCACAACGGAAAGGTTGATGATATTCTTGAGAGATATAAGAATTTTGCACCAAGATTGTAGTATTTTGTTGAATTATCTGCAGGTGTCTTGCAAATTGTCTATACAGTATACCTAGGTCATAAAAGTATTTGTGTGTACGTCTGATACCATACTACTTGTGAAGGAGGAAATGTATATTTTTACCTCTCAGAATGTTTGGTAATATGTTTATTTGTGATGTGTGTCTATGTATATATTAACACGTTGTACTGAATGGGGTGAGAATAGCTTGAGCTACCTCATCCCTTTGTGTGTATTTTACCTCAATAAACTTATTTCAATTTCAATTTCAATTCAACCTCTTATGGGGAACTCTGTCGAAAGCCTTTTTTAGGTCCAGATAGATGCAGTCAACCCAACCATCTCTTTCCTGTAAAATCTCTGTGGCTCGATCATAAAAACTGAGCAAGTTCATTACACAGGATCTTCCAGATCGAAAACCATACTGTCTGTCTGATATTATATAATTTTCCTCCAGGTGTTCTACCCATTTAGTTTTAATTATTTTTTCCAATATTTTGACTATTACACTTGTCAATGATACAGGTCTATAATTAAGGGGGTCTTCCCTGTTTCCACTTTTGTAGATTGGAACTATGTTAGCCTTTTTCCACACATCAGCTACAACTCCTGTACACAGGGATGCCTGAAAAATCAGTTAAAGTGGAATGCTGAGCTCAGGTGCACATTCTCTCAGAACCCATAGTGAAACTCCATCTGGACCAACTGCTTTGTTCTTACTTAGCTTCTTGAGCATTTTTTCCACTTCATCTCTAGACACCTCTATGTGCTCTATGTTGTTCCCTGGAATTCTTATTGTGTCTGGTTCTCTAAAGATTTCATTTTGTACAAATACACTTTGGAACTTTTCGTTTAGTGTTTCACACATTTCCTTTTCATTTTCCATGAAACTATTTCCCATTTTCAACGTCTGAATATTATCCTTAACCTGCAATTTGTTGTTTATGAATTTATAGAATAGACCTAGTTCTGTTTTACATTTGTCTGCAATCCCTTTTTCAAAATTTCTTTCTGCCTCTCTCCTCACTGCCGTGTAGTTGTTTCTCGCATCTTTGTATCGCTGGTATGTTTGGAGGTTTGGCCTCTTCCTGTATTGATTCCATTTTTGTGTCTTTTAGTCTCTGGCCCTCTCGCAATTTCTATTGAACCAATCCTGTTTCCTAGTTCTGCATCTCTGTTTTGGTATAAATTTTTTTGTGCCTTTATCATATATTTCACAAAACTTGACATACATCTCATTCACTTCCTTGTCTAGCATCAAGTCTGTCCAATTATACTCACTAAAAAAAATTCTAAAGTGGCCATAATGTCCTCTCCTGAAGTCAGGTTTTTTAACTGCTTCAACCTCATTTTCTTCCAGATTATAGCGCATTGCATACTTTATTCCCAAAAAGACATGGTCACTTTTACCCAAGGGAGGAAGGTACTGAATGTCAAATATCTCTTCCTCCTTCCTGGTAAATATCAAATCTAGGATGGAGGGAACGTTCCCTTCCCTCATCCTCGTAGCTTGTTTAACATGTTGATACAAGAATGTTTCCAGGATGAGGTCTACAAATCTACAGGTCCAAAAATCTTCTGTTTTAGCTTCATATGCTTCCCAGTCTATGGATTTCAAGTTGAAGTCACCGACTATCAACAGTCGTGATCTATCGTTATCCACTCTCGCTATAATCTCTCTCATTATTGTTATAAGACCTTCGCGTTTACTATCTAGCTCCTCCTTTGACCATGTGCTGCTTGGCGGTGGGCTATATGCATTTATGATCATTAGTTTATCATCCTTATGGCAGATCTCTAGTGCTATTATGTCAACTTCTTGTGGATTGGCAGTCACCTTTAGGTGTTCTTTCACCAGCACAGCAATGCCACCGCCTTTCCTAATTTTTCTGTCCCGTCTCCAAATTGAGTAGCCCCTTGGAAAATGACCTCATTTAAAATAACATCTTCAAGTTTTGTCTCCGTGAGTGCAACAATGTCTGGTGTCTGCAGCTGTATTACAACACTTAACTCCAGTATCTTCAATCTCACTCCATCTATGTTGGTGTATGCAATCTTCAGGAACTTGTTCCCCCTCTCCTTATTCTTCACTCCCCCTCTCTCTATTGATTTTGTTGATTTGCCTTTATGTACCACTTTACTGGTCTGCCTACCCCTATCACTTTGTAGAAAAAAAAAGAATTTATTTCTTCTTCATTCCTGCTCTCATTTAAACTTTTTGCCTCGGCGAGGTTGAGTTTCAGCATCTCTCTGTCTTCTTTTGAAAGATCTCGTCTTAACGACCACACTTTCCCATCCTCATCACTTTGTAATTTTCTGGCATTCCTTAGTACTTCTTCCTCAAAGGTCGATCTTTCCCTTTTACGTATTTGCCTATTCTCCTGTGTCGCACACATTCTCTATGGTAGTAAGACCTTCTACGAGGCCAACAATTTTATCTACTACTTTCGTTTCTTCTACAGCTCTTTCTGACCTAGATGTTATCTCCTTTTCTTTGCAACCAAAAATTATCAGGGATTTGCTCCGATCAACTGTGTTTTGCACCAACTTCGGGTTAGATGCCAATTCCTTTCTCACTTCCAGCCTAATGTTTGTTTTATCTTGGTTGCTGCAGTGTTTGGCTTCTTTTACTGCTTCTTCAATTTTTTCCTTCTCCTTGGCCACTTGTGCATAGGTAAATTGCATATCTTTCTTGCACTGTTCTATTCCCTGTGTAACTTCCTCCATCTGTACTGACAAAAGCTGTTTCTCCTGTTGAATTTCCTTACCTAACCTATTGTAGTCATTTATGTTTAAATTTACTTTAACTTCTTCCAAAGCTATTTTTAAAAGTTTATTTTCTTCTTCCATGGCTTTGCAATTTGTTTCCAATTGATTTTTATCCCTGCACAAGTTTTTCACTAAACCCTCAAGACATAAAACTTTGCTATTCAAATGGTCATTACTTTCTTTCAATTTACTAATTATTTCTACATGAGAGTTCACTATAGTATCTAATTTTACCAACTTGTTATGTAGACTGCTAATATCAATGCTTTCTTCATTGAATCCCTCAAAATCATGCTCTGTTTTATTTTTCCTTTTGCTGGTAGCCATCTTGAATGCTCTTCTCTGCACTGGAAACACTAGGGCAACTTTTTCTCATTTGATTTTTCACTTCCCTTAGCACATTCCTGTTATCTCACCTATTTTTCAAAAGCACTATACAGTACCTTTATGTTCTCTGGGACACCACTCACTATCATCAACCTGTACTACAATACTTAGGATTGTTGAAATATGCTGGAGCTCCTCTGATGCAAGTGTTGAATCCTAGGGGTGTCCCCTTTTGAATGTGTGTCTGCCCTCTCGTGTGATACGAAGTGACACTCCCTATCTGAATGATTTTAATATAAAAAAATTTAAGGTTGTACAATATAGTACATGTATAATGACAATGGTTAAAATTTTCATTAAGTAACTAAGTAAATTAAAATTTGCATAACAACTTACCACAATGCATTCTTCAGCACCTGTTGAATGCGTTTTGATAATCTTCGTTAGTGAATGAGTTCTAGAAGGCGTGTTGTGTCTAGAACACTTCAGAGGAAGAGCCGCTACAGTTGCAAGATTTAGGTAAAGTGAGCAGTAGTCTGTTGGAGAAGGCTGAAGGCTATTCACCGACAATGTCCACGACTGGAAAAACACAAAACACAGTATACAGTATATATGCAATATGCATACTATGCACACACAAACAGACGACCTGCATATTACAAAATATGTAAAAGATGTCTTTACTTTTGCTACCGAATTGATCAACCCCATGCATTTATGTGTTACCTTTACCCTGTATCCACAAACTGTAAATCCCTCTCATATGAAGTTGGTGAAAGTGATGAGTCAATCCTCGTGAAAAAGCTGCAATTCCATTCATTAAAATTTAACATGTAATAAAAATGTTGTGCTGGCTGAATACTTCATGAGTAAATGTAAGGAAGTGCTTGCATGTCACTAATATTGACTTAGTGACATGAGAAATCAAAACATCAACTCACCAGATATTTCCCCGCTCAGGAGAATGAGATGGCAACCGAAGCAAAATTTTAAATGTGCCATTTCCGAACTTCCTTCAGATAGTCTTGCATAGTCCAACTTCTAACTGCATTACAGTATGTCAATAACTATACTGTAGATGTTTTTTGTACAAAATTATGAAGAATATAAAAAACAATTGGACTAGAGAGATTATTTTTGCCAATCTTAACATTAACCAAGAAACTGTATAGAACAAACTGCAAGAAATCTTGAAATCAATTCACAGTTTTAAATTATAATAAGGATTGTCTTTACCAGCACTTACACAGTATATGAAACAGAAGAGGAAAATGATAAATAAGGAAGAAAAGGTACTGTAATTAGTCTGAGAAAGTGTAAAGCCAGTTTGAATTATAGTACAGTACATGGAAGGGATACCGGAGAATATCCTTGTCCACATATCCCAGGAAAAGCTCGCGTATGTGGACAAGAAGCTGAGAAACGAGAAGCTGGGATATGTGGACAAGACCCTGGGAAATGAGGAGAAGCTGGGATATGTTGACAAGGCGCTGGGGATATGTGGACATGGCGCTAGGAAACGAGAAGTTGGGATATGTGGACAAGGCTCTGGGAAACGAGAAGCTAGGATACAATGACAAGGAGCTGGGAAACGAGGAGAAGCTGGGATATGTGGACAAGGAGCTGGGAATGAGGAAAAGCTGGGATATGTGGACAAGGAGCTGGGAATGAGGAAAAGCTGGGATATGTGGACAAGGAGCTGGGAAGGAGGAAAAGCTGGGATATGTGGACAAGGAGCTGGGAAACGAGGAGAAGCTGGGATATGTGGACAAGGAGCTGGGAATGAGGAAAAGCTGGGATATGTGGACAAGGAGCTGGAAAACGAGAAGCTGGCATATGTGGCCAGAGCAACAATGCCAATGGCAGAAGACTATTTAGAAAAAAAATCTGTTCTCATACCATGAAACTTAATACATATACTGTACCATTACTGTACCTCTTCATCTACACGAGGTTGTAGTTTTGATGCCACATCACTAAACGAAAGGCCAGCAAGATGTCCTAATTGGCCAATTATCATCACAGGGCATTTTCGTGGATCAGAGGTGGTCAAGGACCCTCTGAACTGGATTCTGGGACTTCCCATCCTAGTTGTTGATCCCCTCACTGTCTCTTTAAAACATACATTGCAGACAATGATGAAAGATAATTACAGCAATAGGTAAAGAATTTACCTATTAATTGCACTTACAGTACTTTTAAAAATAGTTATAGTTTTACATTTTCAACAACACATGCAAATTGTAGTCATGAATAATAAACTGAGCATTTATTACCGAGTACTGTATATAAAACTTTGAAGAAGTATACAAGGTATAGTCAAAACAAGCAGAGAAGATATATACTGTACTGTATAAAATTGAATGAAATATGTAAATTAGATATATATAAAGCTCCATATGACTATTAGGTAAATAAATAGGCTGGATAATAAGTCAACTCACACTAGGGGACCCTGGATTCGAATCCCAGGTGGGACGGAAATGGTCAGGTGCATTTACTTTCAGCAAATAAATGATTCGACAGGTCGTATTTCGGGGAAAATTAGGATTAAGGACTTGCCTGAGACGCTATGCGTGCTAGTGGCTGTACAAGAATGTAAGAACTCTTGTACCTAATCAAATGTAATCTGTCACCAAAACTATTTGGTCACCCTGCATCACTCTAATACTGTAGTTCATTGTGTCAGGGGGACAGGCAGCCAGTGTGTATATACACACACTGTATATACACTGTATGTTTGGGGGGGGACCTCAATGTAACCCTAAGGTTAGGTTAGGTTATTAGTGTGAAGTACTACTACAACTGTGCACTTTTGCTTTTTCCCAACGCATGATCATAGTCATAGTCAAATTTCCAGTTAATCTCATCAACGTATAGTCATAGGTGTAGTAAAATTTCCCATGAATATCGGAGGCGCACAGTCATAGGCTTAGTAAAATTTCCAGTGAATGTTGGCAATCCACACTCGTAGGCATAGTAAAATTTTCCCCAACTGTCGGCAGCGTGCTGTCGTAGGCATACATGACATTTCCATAGAGATTATAGATTTCTATCCTGCCCAGGATTCGAATCTGGAATTCCCAATTGAGAGTCAAGAACAAACCTCACTGTACTACTAAAACCCTTACTACTGTACTAGTATGTAACAGAATGAGATAAAATCAAGAATTTAGATATAACTATCACAAATGTTCAAGAAATGGTTACCCTATTGGGTACAGGAATCCTACTAGCTGTGGCTAGTCAAGGTCCTGGTCTCGTGTGATGCTACAGGTACTTTAACATCACACGAGACCAGGTGGCATGACAGAATGTGCTAAATAGCTCCATTGAAAAGAAGAGGTGCAGCAGGCATGTTGAGAGAAAACTATCAACGTCAAGCCGCTGGTCCGAGAATTTCCAATGCACTCCTGCTACACATAAGGGCATAACTGGCCACACTCTAACAGTGATCATAAGTGAACTTGACAACAATCTCCAAAAGATACCTGATCAACCAGGCTGTGATTCATAATGCAGGCAAACACATCCAACAGTCTGGTTAAGCAGACTATCACCCCATGAGGCTTAGTCACAGAATGGGCTGTGGAGATATTGATCCTAGGAACCATCACAAGGTAACCCAACCTTGCCTTACCTAACCTAACCAACCTTTCTCAACCTAATCTCAGCCAATCTTACCTAACCTTACCCAATTTTACCTAACCCAACCTAAGCTAACAATATATCAGCATAACAATTAGAGAAAAAAGCATTTTCAAAACATTAATCATGATCAACTGACCATAGCCCAGGTCAAGGAAAGGTATATGGTATCTGTGGATGGGGTTCAACCACTGCAAACTACCTCAAGCCCATCATCACCCACTAAAACTCTGCTATCAGAACTATAACAAACTCTGTCTTCAGACAACACAGTCCCTCTGTTTAGATATCTAAACATACATTCACTCCACACATTCTCTTGTGCCATTTACACTTATGAAGCCTTATTCCTGGGTTCTAATCCTGGTTTGAAACTCTCTTTTGATAGATGTAATAGAACCCATGAGCACCACACCAGAAATAAATATATATGCCAAAACTCTCTTAAATTTTAAAGTACAGCTGGAAAAAATCATCAAGGCAAATGGGGGCGACCTTCGACAAGGCACCTGCTTCCTGTCCTCATCGAGGCCACTGGTGTTAGTGGCTCTCAGGTAAATTCAGGTAAATATTTGGTATAGTCCTAGAGTCAAGATTAAATCTGTGCAAACACTCCATGCAAATAAAACAACCCAGTGTACGGACTTCATACTCTAACAAATTATCCAACCTATATTTTATTCAAAAATAAGATCAGAAAGTACCTAATTTCATTCCCATCTTGTACTCACCCACTTCAGTACTTGACAGTCAACTTCATCAGTATAATCTATTTTATCAACTTATATTGTAGTTGTTAAATTCACTTGAATTCTGTTACCTTTATTGCTTAGCTTAGACATATGCCTGAAGCACTGTCTTAGTGGCTTTGAAAAGAACGTTACGCCGAAACCCCAATGTACCTTCTTGTATATAAATAAATGTCAAAATCAAATCAAATCAAATGTTTATTTAGGTAAGGTACATACATACAAGAGATTTTACAAAGAGTGATGGATTAATAGATAGGGCTAGTACATACAATGCCTAAAGCCACTATTACGCAAAGCGTTTTGGGCATGAAAAACTTAAATGACTAAAGCTTAATACTAATTGAGCATAAAGAATAAAATGAAAACATGGAATGAAAACATAGCTGAAAAAGCAGCACAAATACAGTTCTGTCGACAAACAGCGCTCAAATATCTTGAGGTTATCTTGAGATGATTTCGGGGCTTTTTAGTGTCCCCGCGGCCCGGTCCTCGACCAGGCCTCCACCCCCAGGAAGCAGCCCGTGACAGCTGACTAACACCCAGGTACCTATTTTACTGCTAGGTAACAGGGGCATAGGGTGAAAGAAACTCTGCCCATTGTTTCTCGCCGGCGCCTGGGATCGAACCCAGGACCACAGGATCACAAGTCCAGCGTGCTGTCCGCTCGGTCGACCGGTATCTAAGTTTTAAATGCACCGTTCAGATTTGCACAATTTTTACAGGAACAAACCCCCCACACAAATCAATAACTGTTTGTGAAGACACTTTACACAATACAGTACAGCAAAAGGTAAAACCATTATTCAGAGAAATGGCATTTGAAGTATGACTTGTGCGTAACGTATGCTGAAAATATTTAACACAGTTAAATACAAAGAACCCCTTTCAACAACTTCCAAATAGGTAGCAATTAGCAAGAAGAGAGGAGGGACGGGGAATTCATGCCAACAGGTAATTGAATATATGATAAAAATGACTTATTGTCCCTAACAAACAAGGTTATATCTGGATAAGGCACAAATATCACAAGCCTTCAAAACATTTGTGGTTAAATGGGCTCTTCTGGCTGTTTAAAGTGATCAAAACCATTCTACTTAAGGTAACGACATCCATAAAACAACATATTCGTTTAAAAGTTAAAAACTTATTGCATTAGTAATTTTTTAAATTAAAAAATAACCATTTTTAACAGTATATACCAAGAACTGGAATTTCATCAATTAACAAAAAAATAAAAGTTAAATGCAATTAAAATGCTCTATTTGTCTTATTATTTAACTATGACAACCAGACAAGAATGGTTGGCAAGCTAATATTTAGCCATAAACATGAGGGCACTCTGCAAGTCTTGTAAACCAGAGTTGTCTGCAACGCTAGACTTCGTAAGGGAATATGATCAAGCTGCCACATGTACAGATATTAAGAATGAGAAACTTTGATCTTTTGAAAATGTTATGAGAATGATAGAGATAAGGGAATGAGTGAGTGTCATAATGGCGTGCATCAAAGTACACGGGTGGGTGTGTATGCACGTGTTTACGAGACGTGTAGGAATCCGATTACCTCTCCCTTTCAAGGAACATCTGAAACACACCTCGAACAAGAAAACTGTTACTCCTTTCTTGCCCCTCATTGGCTTACCAAAGAAGCATCTCATTCATAACCACACCAGAATTTTCCTTCCTCTTTCTAGGTTAATGCAATAACAGCACCGGGATTGAATGACTAATAGGTTTAAAAAAAAAAAAAAATAAAAAAAATAAAATAAATGGATATAAATGTTCCTTAATGAACTAATTCTGCAGAGGCCTAGGGAATTAGAGGTATTCATTTTATAATGTTATAGTGTAATAGTGTTTCTGTTATTTGCTTTACTTGATGTGATAAGCCTCCTACCCCTAAAAAAATCCCTATATTTTTTTATTTTGTAATAGGTAAACACAAGAGTAAGTGAATGATAAGAGTGCCAGGAGGCCTCATTCCTCTCCTGGCCTCTAGCATCACCATAATCAAGCTCCATAAGGACAGGCCGGTGGCTGATGGCCTTATAAGTGATGACACGGGGCTTAAGGGCTCCCAAAATAACTTACACAAGGACAATTAATACTTAGTACCGCTACTCCCGGTGGGCGCCACCCGGCCTGACATCTGGCGACACAGGCGCCAAGCTTCTCCTCATTTGATTTCCTCATATATAAGAGGCAAATAAATTCCTATAGGCCATTCAAAATCCCGTATTGGTTACGTATACAACATTCAGATCATTGGAGAGACATATTAAGACAGAAGTATATTTTAAAAGGTTCGGTGCAGGAAATCTTTTTATCCCGTGGTGTTTTTATCCCGTGGAAGGCTTAGTGTGAAGGGTAACTGATTTGTTTTATGATTCTTGTAGTTTCTTGAGGAATCATCATTTCTAGTGGCCGCGACAGGAAGCCGATCGATTGTTAAAGGTCTCCCCATTATTCCTGAGTAATTTTTATTGCTTATTTTTAAGCTGAAGTATTGTCTCCGTTTTATTACGACTTTGGCAAGTAGGCTGTTCCACGGGATTTATTTCCTTGCGGGTGAAAGGATCTGTTTTCTGTCCTACATTGAAGCTTGTTGAGCTTGAAGCTGTTGCTCCTTGTATATGTTACATTGAACCCTAGAACGAAGTGGTCTGGAGTAATATCCTCCAACTTGTTCAATATTTTATCTCGAAAAAAAATCAACCTGGTCATGTTCGGCTTGAAGTGAGAATGTCCTTATAGCGCAGTGGTAAAACGCTCGCCCGGCGCTTATACCGGGCTTCGTATCCTGGCCGGGAAAGGATTGACTGAGCGCTAATCCTTAACTGTAGCCTCTGTTTACCCCAGCAGTGAATGTAAACGATTTGGAGAGTCGTATTCCTGGGAAAATTAAGATAAAGGATCTGCCCGAAACGCTATGCGCGCTAGTGACTTTACAAGACTGTAAGAACTCTTGTATGTTAGTCCTTATGCCCTCCACTGTTCTTAGTATGATAATTAACTTAGTTCTGGGATGATTTTTGTATTCTGTCTCCCATCCATTTGCTTGCTGGTCGGTGCAGGGTCTGCGTTCAATTCTGAATGTCCAAACTGTGTAAGGTACCTCCATGTGAACCTGTGTGTATTTGACGGCGGAGTTTCCGTGTGCGTACTTCTGGTGGGAAGGAGGCGTGGGGTTTGAACCAGGGTCGACTTCCTGAAGTTCCTGGAGACAGTTTCCCAGCCAAGAGCTGAGAGGACGGAGGTTCTCCCGACGCTGCTGCTGCTGCTGGCGTTCGCCGCCACCCGCACCTCTACATACTCCTCGCGGCTCCATGGTTCACAGTGACAGTAATATTTTAAACGAAAATTATACGAGTTTCTTGATGTCTGACACAGCCAATTTTTTTGCTTTACATAATAATGATGTATCACGATGTGATAAATGGAAAAATAAGGTAAATCGCTGGCTTCACTGCGTTTGGAAATATTGTTCAGTGCAAAATCACACCGAATTAGAGTGCAGTTAAAGCCAGTCTCATGATGAGGGCACTGTGAAGCCCTAGCTAAATTCCATTTTTTATTCAGGTAAAAGTACATACATAGATGAAGAGTTACAAACATAATGTTGGATTTATACATAGAGCTAGTACATACAATACCTAAAGCCACTAATACGCACAGCGTTTCGGGCAAATGAAGGTTAGGCTAGTAGCGCGAGCTCACTGGGTAAGCCTCGCTACTCTCGTCACATCTCGAGGCGGAATTCTAACTTTCCGGACCCTTTCACCTCCACCGTCAACCCTACAAATACGGAAGGTTGACGGTGGTCAAATTATATGTATATGACGACAGTTATCACTGAAAGTGCTGCCTTCAGAAGCCAGGAGAAAGGTACCTTGCGAGTTACCTGTGAACCCGACACTAGGCTGTGTGGTTTGTGGAGGTATCTGGTTTGTATTGACTGATGTTATTTGTAATGACTGGTATATGGTTTGCAGTGACTTGTATCTGGTTTGCAGTGACTGGTATTAAGTTTGTAATGAGTAATATTATAGTTGTAACGTCTGGTGGGCTCACTCACCCACTCACAGGCTACTCAGACTGGATTCACTCACTCTCAGACTACTGTGATGGTTCACTCACCCACTCGACAGATACTAGGGCCGGTGGGTTCACTCACCTGCTGCTCTTTAAAGCTTCGTAGATGACGATCTGCCTTCGTATTCCTTCCATTAAATAAACAAATCTTATGAAACTAGATTTGTATATACAATGTAACTTTACCACGAATTGCTGACCTTACATGACGCGGGCAGGAGCTGCGACCAGCTGGCCTAAAGTACTCTAACGGTACTGTGTTCTCTGCGGGAAACCACATACTGTGCGTACGTTGTTTCCCGTAGATTTGGACAGGAATCCTGAGAGGCTTATCGAGATCGTCTCTGACCAATTGCCTGCAAATTGTTTGGTCATTTCTGACATGCTCTGATTCCTACATAACGAGGAACAACTTCACATTGATCTTTATGGAAGACATACAGTACTGGGAGATAAATCAAATAAATCACAACAAATATATCATAACTTTGTGTTTCCAGAGAGGAAGCGATCGTGGTAGCTGACAGAGGCGGAACCGTACTAGGAACAACCTCAACAAGGCCGATAGGTGCCTCCCACAGCCATGTTACCTATCATCCAGGTCATCCTGCTGCGTCTGTTTCTTCTGCCGACGCTGATGCTCCTTCCTGGTAGGTCACACTGGTTGCTTCAGTGCTGCTAGGGGTGTATGTGTGGGGGGGGGAGGGAGGGGTTCATGGTGGGCCTATAAGGTAAAATAATTAGGAAGAGAAAACGTTGATCTAATATATTTATAACATTTGGAAGGAATGAGGACAGACTATAAGACGTTAAAGATGTGATAAGAGCTAGGATATGAGGTTCTTTACTTATAAAGGAAGTTGACAATTTATCTATCCAAAGTTAATCTTACACTTACAATGGGTCTGAGGCGTTTAACTAAGTACGATTTTACATACTCAGGCAGACGTAAAGTGAAAACAAAACATACATTAGTATGCATATGCTAGACCCTATTACATATAATTATCGTGTATTATTTTGTTGTTTTTCTCTCCTTATTTTGCACAATATAAGTATTTATAACTGGCAAGAACTTCTCTGGACTACACTCTCCCCTGTGACGATGATAACAGCAGGCTGACAGAACAGAAGATTTTTGTCATTGCTTGATTTCCTGCCTTCAATACTCAGTTGCGTTGCGCCTCTTCTCACTGCACTTATGGTGACGGCTATCAGGATGACTCGCGCTTCATTCTTGCCCCTTCCAACTAGTAATTATCCCTTGTTAAGTCTTTGTGGACGTAAAAAAATGTGATGCTCAGCTTCAGGAACAGGTAGCATGTCTTTTAAGCTCCCTGTCAAGTAGCGGTGACACGAGCGTGACTGGCCGGAAGTAACGGTAATACACTACGCTAGCAGCAAATTGCTCGCGCTCCACTGAGCAGCCTGCGTTTGCGCAAACTCGCAATATTTTTCTCTTGAGTTTGCGTATAAGACTCTGGTGAGTCTTAGACGTATAGTTCCAGGCGCAACAAACACTGGAAGATAGCGTAGTACAGTTCCAGGCGCAACAAACACTGGGAGATAGCGTAGTACAGTTCCAGGCGCAACAAACACTGGGAGATAGCCTAGTATAGAAGGTGGCCGCTAGGCTACCGCACTGGGGACAATGCTGAAGGAGAAATTAGAATGCGTTTTTAGCTTTAAGATTCTAAAGCAATTACGTAAATTACTGGTAGGTTCAGCGGCAGGATTTAGGTTGGTATAACTAATGATCTAAATTGGGTAATGAGTGTCATTCGAGTTATATCCAAAAATGGTGCTCGAATGTATTTATTTAGAGGAAAAATTATTGTTTCAGAATGAACACGATGACGACGGCTGCCGTTAACTGTTCTCTGTAATCTTGTGGTTTTTCTTCAGGAATTGCTGTGGAAGGTGGTCTAATGATGGGCAACGGCCGACTACGGAACCCGGAAATGTGGATGCTCGCCCAGAGAGACCACACAGCACCCAAGGAATCGCAGACACTTGAGAAGCAACATGTAGGTGCTTCTCACCCACAGACGTCGAAGCATCCTCCGCCTGTACTGGGGCAGGAGACAGCCCCATCCCTGAGGTCAGCCGGGGTCACCCTGTGGCTGCTAGAAACGCTGGTCATGCAAATATATAGAGTTTTCTTAACAAGATACCCTTCAAAATCTTCTGCAGTCCGGCCCGCGACTATTGACCAGTCTAACTGGAAGACCCTTGACCTCTCAGGTGTGACAGGCGGCAGAGGGTTAGAGGTCAACCGGCAAATTATACCGATCACTTCTTTCGATACTTGGCTGTTGGCGTTCCAGGAAACCTTCAAGAGGGACATGATTTTCAACACGGTGAGAGTAGGAGGATTAATTTTGCTATACTATTTTGCTCCAGATCTTTTCAAATTGATACATAATAGAAACGAATTAGGGTGAGTTTATTATATATATATATATATATATATATATATATATATATATATATATATATATATATATATATATATATATGTATATATATATATATCATAACAAAGAAAAACCTGCATAAAACTGCAATGTGAATATGGAGAAATAAGAGTAAAGACAACGAAGCCAAAGTTAATTTAATAGAATAAAACAAACAATTACTTTAACATCTGCAATACAACTATCTTTGTACTCGTAATATAATGACATTAAAAATAAATCAAAGCTTTAATATTAATTCCAACTTCAATGACTCGGACACTAAGAACAACAAAGAAAGAAGTGCAGGAGCTACATTATATATATCAACAATATAAAATTGTGAATCCACAATAACATAGATGGCGCCAATTATGAAATGCTGTTATCTACTGTATTGTATTATTGTATGCATACAATATATAATATGTATTTAACAACCATGAGGTCATCACTCAATCCTTGAGCAGAAATAATTGGATTGTGCTCTGTCGTTTATCTATGGTCATTACTTTTATTACCCCTATTTAGGCTTTAATAATAAAGTTGTTGTAACAAGCCATTGTCTCTTTATCCTAGACTTTAATATTAGTTTTATTTAATGCTTATTAAGAGAAAATGTTGCAAAGCATAGAATATACGTTTAAAATAGAAAGTTGCAAATAAAGCGAAAAAGATTGCACCTTTAAGGGGAAAAATGTTGCAAACAAACCATAAAAGGTTGCAAAGAAGCCAAAAAATGTTGCACCAAAAAAAATTGAGAAAAAATAAATCAAAGTAGACCTTACTTAAACCTTATGGCACGTCATGGCAACCAACCTACCAAATGCAATGTATTATGAGAAGTAGCATTCACAGAAATCCTACGTTTTCTTTGTACCATTTGGTTAGGTGGGTTGCTAGGCTTCGTGCGTTTCCGGTTAGGTTAAGACATTGAATTTTGTACGTTGTAGCTAAACTAGAGAACAGACTGGCTGATTGACGGACTGATAACCGGGTAACTCAACACACTTGGAACTCCTGCATTGTTACAAGCGGAGGTTGATCATGTCCATTGGAGTTGCTTTCCATGGGCTAATTCTGCTGCTTCCGCCTGTAGCACAGTGGTCTACGTTTTCGGCTCATAACCGAGAGATATTAAGGGTAATTCGGTAAGCTATTGTGGTGGCCTTAATAACCCTCCAGAAGATGATAGATTATAAACCAATGAAGTAAGATTGACTTTGTGCTTGAACTCTTCTTTTTAAGAACACGTCTAATTGGACTGATGAGTATAGCAATGGTCTCGCTTCTTGGTGGTCGGCGTTCGATCCCCGATGTGGATGAACATGGTTCTTTCACTCCGGCCTCATATCCCAGCTTTTATATATATATGTGTGTTAAATTTCCTTCTACCGCAATATAAAATTGTTACAAAGGAAGGAGAAACATATAAAGAGAAAGTGACTAAGTGATATGAGGACAAGGAGCTGGGATAGCACGGAGGGAAGGAAAAGTGCCCAACCACTGGGACCAGCGGGAATCGAACGCCGACCTACAAAACCTGAAGCCATATCTACTTCTTACAAAGTAATGAAGTTGTAGGTGACGCCCGTGGTCTAAATTCGAAGTATGCTGCTGAGATTGACGGCGTCTCAATCAGCAGACTGTTCAACAGGACCATCACAGTCTGCTCTCCACTCCTTCGTGCTCCACCAGGTCCAGAAGGCGCAGATAGCAGATCTTCTTCACCTCCGTGATGCCCTTCTCCACCTCCGCCTCGACTGAGTTGTTGAGGCGTGTCCTGATGCCCTCCAGGATGGCTTCCTTCTTGTTCCTCCGGGCGCAGATCACGAAAGGGAAGCCGAACTTCTCCCGGTAACTGTCGGAACAAGGCCGAGAGGACATTGTTATGTATGCTCAATACTTTACCGTCAGTAATATACCTTCTGTATGTTCAAGCATGCATGTATGTCTGTGGCCTAGTGCATAATGCACAGAACGAGTAGTTCAATTTGTCCAGGTTCGATTCCCGGCGGAGGCAGAAATACAAACCATACAGGCTACTGAATATCTGGTAAATGTTCCATTTCCTTGAACTGACTGGACAAGCCTACTCTTGCTGAGCACAAAGTTCATAACAAAACAATTTTTTTTACTATTTTGCCTTTTACTGCACTTTTACCTTTCCCGATATCATCGTTTCCTAGTCTATATTACCATGACTGAAGTCTCCCAAGACTAATTTATACTCAAGCTGTGTTTTATTGTTGTAGCCTCTAGGATATATGTTAGGCTATTGTTGTAGCCTCTAGGATATATGTTATGGTATGTTTGAAGCCTAGTGAGCCTCTCTCTGTTGCTCATTTAGGGACTGTAAGGTACAGCTACCATTACTTTCTCTCCTCCCATTGTTATGGTATCCATGACATTAGTGTATCCAGGAGCTTCCTCTATACTGGTGTCCTCACATTTCACATTCTTTGTGGCTGTCAATGGTGTTTTGCTCGCTTCTCTCTCTGTGTTCTTGCCATTCTCGTTATCTGCTGCTCCCTCAAGATCACTAATGATTGTCTCAGTTATCTTTCTCGAGATGGAAAGATAGGAACGGTTTTGGGTGTTGGTAGGACGGTGAGGGGGTGTATGTGGGGCAGGCGTGTGTGTGTGTCTGTACACACAAGCGTGAATCTGAATAAATAAGACTCTTTCTTTACAAAACATGTGTATTTTCATCTTAAAGCGACTTTTCGAGAGGAGCTACCAGACCGTGAACGCGCTATCGAACAGTATAACATGAGTATGGTCATCTCAGAGCGACTTACAGATAGCAGCTACCAGATCATCAACGACACCTGACTGTACATGGAAGACAGATACGTGTACCTACCTCCGGTTCCTGGAAGACAGATACGTGTACCTACCTCCGGTTCATGGAAGACAGATACGTGTACCTACCTCCGGTTCATGGAAGCCAGGCTGACACTCTCTTCCAGCGTGAGATCGCTCATTCCTGCAGCCTCCTGCTCCTTCAGAGACTCCAGCGTTAGCTGGTCCTCCCTGGCCATCTGGCCGGCCAGATCCGGGTGGAGGCGCAGGATGCCCTCACGGCCTGAAATAAACATTTATGTACCGGTAATTCGATAAATATATATTAAGGAGTTTATATAAATTACCTGGTATATGTTAAGGTTCGCGAAATATTTATATATACCCAGCAATATGCTAGTTGATTAAATTTGCACTATTACACATTATTTACAACAGAATGGCATTGAGAAACCATCTCTGTGATGGTCTCACACACACACACATTGTGTGTGTGTGTGTGTGTGTGCAGCCAATAGAAAAGGTCAAAATTTTAAAGACATTTTCAAAGTTTGTCCATACTTAAATGTTAAATATTTTCTTGTTAGCTGCCACCTTCAGTTACATTTCCGTGGCAAGATAATCTAGACATAAACTAGGCTACAGGTCAATACTATTACGAATTGATTCAGATGCAACGGTCGTTAGTGACACGCTGAAAACAATTACAAAATCTGCCGTAGTGTGTCTACCATAGTTACGAAATCAGTCATGTGCGCTGTAAACAATGATACAGCTGTATTACATTTATAATGATTTTAGGTGACTATTTTTTTAATTTATTACTAAAATCATCCTCCATTAAAAGAATGGATAATGTGACGTCATTAGCATCAACCAATCACGGTATGAGTGTGACGACACTATCAAAAGAAGCCAATCACGGTATAGGTGATTGTAGGGTGAGACTACGTCATCAGTGCCAGCCAATCACGGTATAGGTGAGACTACGTCATCAGTGCCAGCCAATCAGGATATGGGTGAAACTACGTCATCAGTAGCAGCCAATCAGAGCCGCTTTCTAGCGGCGCATTCCTTTAACCCTGACTCCAGTAAAGCATATTCAAATTATCCTCATACCTTTCTCACCTGTATTTAATACCAACATACATCCTACTGATATTATGAATAACCATTGTCATTCCGAGTTGCTTTTCCTTTCAAATACATCCTTTAGAAGAGCAAAATTCACTTAAGTATATCATAACCAGCATCTAAGCAACAGTTATCTCTCACCTGCTACAGGAAGTTCATCAACAAACCCGCAGATCTCCTCATGCAAGTGTCTCACGTCCCTGAAAGGTCTATATTTCCACACAGCCGCAGCACACAGGGAAGAGTGCTCAATCACATTGCCGAACACCTCAATGAAGTCTTCATAGGGCATTTGGTTCACCTGTGACACCTGCATGACTGGAGACGTCTCAAGGCCACTTAAGACGCCAGCCGCCTCACTAGCGCCATCTCTTGCCTTCAATCTCCTCTTGAACAAATCCACAAGGATTTGTGGATTAAGGCGCGTCTGCATGGGATCCTTTTAGACGTAGGTTCGAACCCTCGTCACGGCCCTTGTACTAACCTAGTTGTGTTTGCGGGGGTTGAGCTCTGACTCTTTGGTCCCGTCTCTCAACCGTCAATCAACTGATGTACAGATTCTTGAGCCTACTGGGCTCTATCATATCTACATTTGAAACTGTGTATGGAGTCAGCCTCCACCACATCACTTCCTAATGCATTCCATTTACTAACTACTCTGACACTGAAAACGTTCCTTCTAATGTCTCTTGTGGATTTGTTCATTTGATGCATCACGCTATTGTGATTTCTGTGTGTAATGTAAGTTCATTCACCTCTCTTTCAAAGATTTAGTCCACGAGATACGTCAAATGACTATAAAGAGGACTGGCAAAATTGCAAAAGTTCATTCGCTAGGAGTTTAGTGTGAGCGAGAGAGGGAGCTGGAAGTGTGTGTGTAAATTCATGTAAAATTACAAAGAAAAACGATGTCATCATACCTGGGTACACACTACAGTCAGCGACTACTGCTGTACCAAGTCCAGTCTGGTGGTACAGCAGGTAGGAACAGCGTGGTACATAACCACCTTGTAACTCGTACGTCAGCAGTACTGAAATACAGTTTTGTAGTAACTATATTAATAATAAGTAGCAGCTACTTAAACTTTCCAGAGATTCCATAAAACACTAATAACACACAACAGATACGAGGCAACTTTTACGAACAATTTTGGCAACTTTTTACGAATTCATACAGAATTCTTCCAAATGAAGAATTCAAAATAAACGAGTTTACCATCTAAATTATCCGTCCTTTGAAAAGCTGGAATAAAAGAAAACAGTACAATAATTTTGTGAGTGACTATTATATTCCTGCTTGTGTACTATGTCATTTGAATGTACAGTACTTGAGAAAATAGAATACACGATGATAACTGCATCATCAACTGTACATATTTACTCTCTACAATATAGTAAACATGAGGGTCTTAATAAACAAAAGTTACTGAACAGAGCGTCAGGTGAAAGGTAACGCGGCCAATCGTCTCTGTTCCGCCCTGGTATCGAATCAAGGATTGTGGGCCGACAGTGTAGGCCACTGCGCTACATTGAACCTGAATAACGATTTGTATCAGACGTCATCTGGAGGCACCAGACGCTGTAGCTTGAACAGGGGAATTAAGCGTTAAGAGATTGCAATAAATTTCTGCCCGAAATTCTACCCAGTTTCTGCCCGAAACGCTTGCGTAATAGTGGCTTTAGGCTTTGTATGTACTAGCTCTATCAATAAATCCATCGATGTTTGTATCTCACCTTGTATGTATGTACTTTACCTGAATAAACATTTGGTTTTGGTTTTTGAAATAATAAATAGCTTTACTACCCAATAACAGTATTTTTGTTTTAAATAAAATAACTCGAATGGTCTCTGCAGCATCTTGAGGTTATCTTGAGATGATTTCAGGGCTTTAGTGTCCCCGCGGCCCGGTCCTCGACCAGGCCTCCACCCCCAGGAAGCAGCGCGTAGCAGCTGTCTAACTCCCAGGTACCTATTTTACTGCTAGGTAACAGCTGGTGAAAGAAACTCTGCCCATTGTTTCTCGCCGGCGCCTGGGATCGAACCCAGGACCACAGGATCACAAGTACAGCGTGCTGTCCGCTCGGCCGACCGGCTCATGGTCACCAACGTGTTGTTTTGTGTATTTTGTTTCAGCCCGTCTTCTCCAGCGATCATAATGTCACTAAACTGATGCAAAATTGGCCGAACTTAACCTAACTGACGACCCACGAATAGGAAATGAGGCACCACGTCAATTTTGCAAGCCACTGTCCTTTTCAGTACATCAGTTTTTAGCCTTAGGGGGAGTTATACATCAAAATGCGATGTACTGCTCGAAAGGACATATTTTCAAAAAGGACTGGGTGGTTAGGGGGAAATAGAAGCTATAAACTACTATCCAACCAGCTTCACATCCATATATGGTAGGATATTTGAAATAATTCCAGCAAAATCACTTACAAATGTTGTTGACAAAATTCATTTGCATACGCCTAATATGGATATACTAGAAGTTCATGCCTCACAACCTTACTGTTGTTGATGTAATGTAAATTGACTATTGGTATTTTATAAAGCTGGTCTGGCAGCTGTGGTTGCAAGGTAATCACACTTTGTGGTGCATACTGATATGCTAGGATTATGAATTACTGCTGAGTTAGCTAGGTCATCCTAGTGCCTGGAGGGTAGCTAACGTGGTCCAAATATTCACGAAGACGGATAAACTACTGCTGTGAACTACCGAACAATTAGGTTGAACTTGATCAAGAACGTAATGCAATAATTACATAGTATATAAGTTCAAGAACTTGAACTTGATGCAATAATTACACAATATATAAATTCAAGAACTTGAACTTGTTGCAATAATTACACAATATATAAGAAATACATGTTGATAAGAGACTCCTATTATGGGATTAAAAAGACTCATTCCTGTCTCACAAATTTACTATATTTTTATTCAAGCATGCTCGAAGCAGTTGACAACAATAGTGAATATGTTGTTGTATATCCGGACCTCAGCAAGGTCTTCAACACAGTTCCACATGTGGAACAGTGATGCTATATACCACATCAATAATTCCGACAGAGTTACAACCAGTTACAGCCCCCTCTCCTGTGGCAAGTAAGTCCATTACGGGATCACCATAGCCCGTGCTACTTGCAACTTTTTGTTCCGAGTAGCTGGATCAAAGGAACAACAAAAACATCCGACACAGACCACAACGTACAAAATGAGACGCTGGAAGGCGCGTCCGTAGCTACCGAGAGACAGCCAGTCTCCAGGAGCTGAAGGAGACAAATGAAAGCACGATATAAACGACAGAAAACCGAGATGCAGACGACACATGATGCGGTCAAGCGACCCACTCGCTGGAATAATTTATTTTTTTGTTTTTTTCTACCTTCTCGATGAAATATGATACATCAAGTGACGGTATTTTTTGGTAAGCCAGGTAGCGAACCATCGCGTTTCTGGGCAGTTGGAGGGTCAGAAGCTGGGTGATGAGGAGCGTGTCAGCTGGTGTATGTGGGCTTGTGTTCTGCTTGAGGCGTGTAGAGCCCTTGGAACGATTTCAAGGCGAGAGTTTGTTTAAAACAAGAGTTTGTTTTAAACTAATGTAGTTCACATTTAAAGTATACTCTCAGTGTATTACATTTTACATAATATCTCTACTATGAATGTTAAAAATGTGTGGTATTTTCTTAATTGATTTTTTTAGTTGTAAACTAAAAACCATTTTTCATTCGTAAACAGGAGGTTTGGCAGCTGTCTGGAATGGACTTTGCCCTTTGTTTATGAGGACGTGCTGCACAACTGATGACGTTCAAACAAGTGCTTCGCTGAGGACTTTTGTTCGAACCACACAACTGTAAATGCATCACGCACGTACTACAAATACAAATAAGCCCAAACAGAACCTAAACACCTAATCTAACCAATGCCTAAATATGCACAATAGGCTAATATATAATAATATTAATTTATATTTGAGAAAATTTCCTATTTTGAATGAACAACATGTTAAAATTTACAAATACGTCTTTGGGGTCGATCGCTGGATGGAATGGACATAGAATGAGGACGGGTTGGATGATTTTATTGGATGATCCATAGATATGAGACTTCTTGCATGCTAGTATTAGGATAGATGGAATAGCTGGTGAAGAGAAACGGAGCATGTGACTGGAATATATAAATGAATACAAGTCATAAACACTGAAATTTCAAATTGTATACTGAAAATACTACATCAGTTAGAACCCATAACATAAAATTTAGAATCGTGAATCTTTGGAAATTACTGAACGTAGGAAAGAGTAATAAGCGTTTGACAATAGGCTTTTTGTGGATAGCTTGAAAATTCTACCAATTAGCGTCAATAAGGCGAGTTCTATGGACAATTTATTAATACCATTTCTCTCAAGTGCAGATGGTTGGGTATTAACAGAATCCACCCAGTGAAAATAGGAACAGTCCGGTGCAAACAGGATCTGTCCTGGATTGGACAGTACACCTAATGAAGTGTTCTTATATTCCAAAATTCATAGCCTCATCAGTTGTTATTGGTGTGGATCCGGGAACCCTCGCTTCCCTCTGTTGACATAGGAATAACCTATTGCTCAAGACCAATCGATGAAGTATCCACATCTGTTACAATCAGGCCATGTATTCATTTTCTTGACATCCGCAATATTTATTTTATCAAACGTAGCTGGGTAAGTTTGCTTTGTGTTGGGTTGGTCTTGTGGGAGGTTCGTGGGTTTGTGTTACATACAGTTGGTGTTACAGACGTAAATACAGTTGGTGTATACAAACCTGTTAATGTTTAGCCAGCGCTCAGAGGGGTATGCCACAGATTCTAGGAAGGGGGAATGAGGCTATTGTAATGTTTAAAGCACTAGGTGGTGCTGTATACGGCCTCTCATCAGGAGTTAGGACGTGTGGGGTTAGTAAGTTAGTGGTTCCTAGCCATTGATGCCTCATTACCCCTCTTTCTCAAACCCTTTTATGACCTGCGGACTCTCTATATCTACGTTATAGCTTCACAAGCCGATCAACTACGTTCTCATCTGTGGATCCCTACTTGGGCGTGTGATCCACTGAGCCACCTCAGGATCTTCTGAAGTCCAGCTCTCTCTGATATCTTCCCACATATTCCTTTTCCTGTTTGGTGGTTGCTTGATGTGTGGTGGTTGATATTGTGCAGCGGGTGGTTGTTTGTGCCTGTGACTGCTTCCCACACACACTAATGCACAAGTGGAAGCTGGAAACATAAACGGGTCGAAGGATTGTAAGGAAGTACTCGAACCCTGTACGGATGGACACGTGAAATGCACTAAGAGGCTGTGCAGGCCACCTCCATCCACAACTTTTCAGATTCGACAATGAATTTGCATATCAAAATGGAACAGGTACAGCAAGACCAGGAGGCGGGCATAAGGAGCTAAACCTCATATCATCG